CTCTGCACTATCCACGAAACTGAGTTTAGAATAGACCTTATGCATACGATGCATGTTTACGTCAGGCGAGCACATTTCACCTCCAAGACTCGTTTTCAAATTGTAATGTTAATGTTGTAAAGTTCACTAAATGAATTCTCAAGGCAGTTTAGTTAAAAAGAATACCAACGCACAAAGAGTGCACATGCGAAGACGTTTGTGGTCAAGGGACTTTTGTAAAGTTCTTTCACCTTTTCCCTGGCAAAAAAGAATTTGCATTATTACTGTCTTCTCCGTGACAAGCCTAGCTTACTTCCTCTGTGGTTTTAGGAGACCTTTCTGTTGAAGCCCCGAAGTTAAACTGCCCATTCCCACTCCTTTGTGTAAAAGTTATTTGTCCTCGATTTATGGCAGCTACAGCGTGAACTTAGTTTCTTATGGCTCAATGCTTAAACGTATGACCACTGTCAACTATCAGAGATCGCTTTCTCTGAACCGAGTAGGCACTGAATCAAAAGGTAACTATAGCTTTCCTTGGCTCCGGATTCGATAATCTGGCTTAAGAGTGCAAATCAATTAAAGATGTTTAAGCAAGATAAAGATACTGTTCCATTGATGCCTATTTTTAAGAGACCTTTACAAGTTACTGTGGCGTTTTCCGCGGAAATATGTCCTTAGTTACTGACTTTAGCACTGATAGGAAAATCTGGCAAAAAAATGCGAATGAACTTAATTTGAGTTGTCACACCATGTCTCGAGCACACCGCCGCGAACCATCAACGACCTGTGCAGAGAATCTGAGTAAGAGAGTAGAAATTAATTCAACTCCACGCATTTTAGGCATCGTAATGATGAACAGTAAGGACTTTTAGATTTTTTAGACTTTTAGATATTTCGAGCAACATCAATTTGCCGTCTGTCTTCTTTGAATATCTACAAAAGTTAAAACTACCTAGCGCACAATAACGAACAACGACCAATTAGCTGTGTCTTCATTCAATGACATAGAAGTATTATGATTTGGTGGGAAGGAAAGGGATTAAGCCATCTTTTGCACATTTTTAATTCTATTGGTACTTCCCCTACAAGCTATACCCCCCAAGGCGTCACGCGGAAGATTTTGCAGATTTCAGGCAGTCATTAAGCTGTGCTTGTAAAGAACTTCGTTTAATATGGACATCGACCATCAAATACTGCACATGTAACAAGCTATTAGCCATACGATACAATCAGAATTGTCAACAGGGATAAATCTTTGCCTTTTTTACTGAAACTCATTGGGTTTTTACATTAAGTCAGAACGTCAGCTTCTTCCTAGAGGCGTGCTACAAAGGAAACAGGAAACCTATGTACTCGGGCAAGCGCATTCCATTGGAAATGTTGATTAAATCTTCCAACGACTGGGCGAGGAAGAACTTGAGAAAAGTTTTAGGCTTCAAAAGTTTAGAGCAAGTTTGAGAATCTCTAACTTACCTCAACCAACAAAGACTATCACCCTACGACCCTATACCTCTGAGCTCTCGCAGACATCACACGCGAACTTCGCTAGTGGTCGCGAGCTGGCTGCATTTACAGGCTAAGGCTTTATATCCTGGATTTCTGGTATAATCTGAGAAAATAGGAGAAAGCTTTAAAGCACACGTATTTTCTCACCGAACCATGCATCGGTTAATTACCTGAAAGTGTTTGAACAGTGAGCTATCGGAGGGAGAGGGATAGTGATTCAAATCTTTGAGGACAAAAGGGTGAACAAGAAGTCTTATTGAAAAAATTTATTAGGGCATATTTTTTACTTCAAGTATACATTATTTTGCGATAATAATTCAATGTCCTTTTTTCGGCTGAACGTGCTTTTACAATTTTGTACCCAAAGTTTAATTTTAAGATATGATCAATGTGTGTACACTACATACATGTACCATTAACTAATTTTACCTCTCGTCGTATTCTCCGCAACGAATGTCGCTTCAACAGTGATCGTCCATTTACACTGCATTTACACGATAAACATTTCTTAGAAATCGGTGTAGGGATCTCTAGGTATTTTGATATAAATTACAGACAGCCATACTGAATGAACACAAGTTTCAAGTCATAATTATCAATCTTCGGAAATGCCATGAGGTTTACGTGTTTATATAATGGATGACTTTAATGTAGTTTTAAGCGAAAGGATATCGTGACGAACTGCAAGGTAAACATTTGAGTTCTAAAGCCAAATGGTCTCGGCTATAAAAAGCTACGCAGAACATTAACTATTTCCGTTTATAACCTCGTACTATGAACTTCGATTGAGTGCGAATGAACTTGCTTGTCATCCACAATTTGTTGTTATATTCCATCATGGCTGTTTATATGTTTACACGCAGTTAATTCTTAAAGAATCTGATTAGCTTCTTGGCATTTTCCTGTTTAATTAGTAGTGGCTTCAATGAATGCGTCGATTTTTCAAAGTAATAAACTAAGGTAATATTATAGCGTTCGTTGACAGGGTAAAATTAACCCTTTAACACTGCAATTCTCCACACTGTAATCCCGAGTTCTCGAACCCTCGTTTCTCGAAACTCCCGATCATTCGAACCGGGCAATAACTGAACTTCCCTTTCCTTGTCAAACACACATTAATCCGATTTTTCAAACCTCATGATAGTTTGCACTACTGTATATTGATTCAGTTTCTTTTCCTCCCGAAAGTTCGAATGATCGGGATTCCAATGTACAAGAACCCTCAGCTTAAGTCATTGACCACGTACTGCTGTGTAAATTCGTCATATTACGGTGTTGGGGCCCAGTCGTGTTTTTTCACATGGTTCACCCACACACTTCAGTTGACTTGACTTTTTGTTGTTCTAACGTTGACTGGCGCAGAGTAGGAAGTGACCACATTATTGATTAACCATATGATAACCAAACTGAGTTGCGAATGGTTGCATGGACATGTTTCCATAGACAACTTGAAGATTCGACGAAGGGCAAAATCTACGTAAGTTATAGTTTTGTATAGGTAGTTGATGTAAGGGCACTGCCAATTCTCGGCCAGCCCCATAATAAGGAAAACCTGCCTGCATGTGACCAAATATAGAGTTTCTTTCCTCCCAACGTAAGCTGGCCTCAAAGTCGGGCGCCATCTGTTTTTTCCACTTTGTTCTCCGATTCTGGAACCACGTTTTAATTTGAGTGTCTGTAAGATTAAGGTTTTTAGCCAAGTTGTTTCGCTCGTTGATGGTTAAATATTTCTTGTCGTGGAACATTTGTTCCAAGGATTTTAACTGGCTGCTAGTAAAAGCAGTTCTTCGCCTTCGTACTTTGTTGAAATGAAGATCATCGCGGCCTGGGGAGCCGCTAATTTCTTCCTCTCTTTCATTTTGCCCCTCAACAAATTCATCTCCCGCTACATGACACAACAACAAGAAAATAAAAATTCAAATTAGAACCGCATTACATAGTCGTAAGCAATATCCCCGGCCATCGCCAGTGGTGTAGTTACAGATTCTATACTAGGAGAAAGCTACATTTAGCCAGAAGAGGATAGCTTGAAAGACACAAACCTGCTCTGAAAGCGTCCGCGACCAGTTTATTTGGCTCACTGTCCCGCTCAGGATCTGTTGTTTTATCTAGTCTTGGGAGCGACTGCCCCAATATCGCGTTTATTGTAAACGATGCCATGTATCTGTGATTTGGACAACAATCGAACGAGTTTATATTAACGCCCACACGGCAATTCAAGCTTCAATAACGATTCCAAGCTGCTAAATATTATTACACCACATCCGGACTTGATTAATCTGTTTGACAGCCAATTAAGATAATAAATGGTGATCGTCCACTCTTTACAAAGGGGCGGTAAACGTTTGAAACAGTATAAGGGAAAGTAAAGGGTTTTGTCACTTTTGACAAAATGCTAATTAGATCATTAAATTTTTGGCTGGCTTTTATAGTATAAGCACGACTCTATAATGGTAAGCAGATCACCGATAAGTATAATAAATTTCCGTTGGTAAAAGATTCTTCGCCAAAAAAATGATTCGACATCAGTCTTAGGAATCTTATCATGTAAAGAAGAGAAGGGGGAATTGGACATTTCTCCTGAAATTGTTGGTTTCTTTTCACTTGCGTGGAACTCTGCTAGTCTCTCAAGAACACGACGAAGACATTTGAAAATATATAAATCAGCCGTCGAAAAATACGTGCATGATTCATTACATACCACGACGGTTTAGGCAAGACCAGACAATTTCACAACAGCTTTGTTCCATGTTATTCTTTCATTTTCAGACGAAAACAAGTTAAACAGAAAACATGATTCATGTAAAATGTATCGTTGTTTCAGATCAGAAGATTATAAGCCAAGTACGCTACGCTGCTTTATTTTTCTCCGCCTAACACGTGTCGTCTGAGTTCTTGTGAACTTATAAGGGCTTTTGTTGAAATGCACGGAAATGTCTTGAACAGAAACCCTGATTCTTGCTTTATATGCCTGGAGCTCGGTTTTTTAATTCTTAAAAAAAATTCTAGTTGTGCTTTTACAGCCAGGTTTCAATATATGTCACATGAGTGAGTGTGACAAACAAATTCCCTCTTTTTCTGGCTATCGTCTGCCCTGTTCTGACAGGGCTGTTGAAATATTAAGAGCTTATTAAGATAACAGTTCCCCTGCAAAGGGTTAATTTGAAAAATACTTTGTGGAAATATAACAGCGAAATAAGACACGCTGATAATACCACACTCAGTCAGTTCTACCCCATGCTGATGGAATGAGTTTACTTCGAAGCCCGTTTCAAGTGTTAAGTAAGCAATATAAAACTAAGAGAAGTTAAGGCTAAGGATGAAAAGTGCTATTGACAACATAAAAGGAATGAATGTAACCATCTTTGAAGAGAAACATTAAGGAATTTATATTTAAACCTTGCTAATTCGATCACTCATATCGCTGGGAATCCAATTTCTTCATATTAAACTTTCTTTTTTGGTCCCAGCAAGAATTGCCGTACGTGGCGTGTTGTCCGCCTTGGCTCGGTATGGCATCCTTAACCCTTTTAAATAATTCATTAGATTATCCGCATTTCCTGGCCGAGGTTCTAATAATACTAATTCATTTGTTTGTTTTCTATTCGTTTTACTTCAGCTGTTTTCTTGAAACAGTCGTTATTAAACCGTTTGAAAACCTAAAGGAAAGCCAAGTTGTTAACTCTGTAGACCTCATTCTTGGAATGAGGCGCTAGCTGTGATTGCGCACGGTTGTTGAATACTTTCACCTCGCGTATTTGTTTACAGGTCTTTGTTCGCCGAGCGATCAAGTGGTTTATTGAGAGGTTTAATAACGCATTTAGCGGTGGAAAACGATAGCTATTAGTCTGGTAATCATCAGCTGATGGATTAAGGACAAGAGTATTTTTTAAGGAATGTATATCTCCTGGAAATGGCGGACTCTCATTGGGTGATCACCTGGAGGAGAAGCCGGGGAGAGGGGGCTCCTATTCGTGACATCGTATTTTCGGGGACAAAATTCAGTCAATAATCGGGATATTATAGTCGGATGATTTTTCTATTTTGGTCCATACTGTAGTGATTATGTTTCCAATACCTTGGCTATTTGGTGAAATACTCAGATGATGCGTGCTCTTCTTCAGGAAGACAAAACATGCTAGGAACAAAATAAAAACTTGTTCGCTATAACGAGATTTCGTTATATCGAGGTTCTTTTTCAGATATTTTACTATTATTGGGTAAAGAAAATCGTTCGCAATATATAGAGGTTCGTTTTATCGAGGTTCCACTGAAGTCTTCGAGCAGTCTCTTATTCATCTCTTTTGAGTCACAGACACTCTCATATAGCCTGCGTCGTAATTAAACCCCGATTAATAACTTAACCTAGGTTTAGTTTTGTCTGTGTCGCAGGCTACTATCAGATCGACAGCAATGATTTGACAAAATTTTAGTTTTTCGCTCGCTGCGCGTGGCTCTGAGGAAAGGAGGGCGACCTCTTGCTGTCTAGAAACATACAATCGATTGTACGAAAACTGCAATTTAAGTCGAAGTCAAACCCGCGTGCTGTAGGCATTAGACACCTCCCGGTGGGTCGTTACTCCTCATAGAATGTGCGGAGAAGCACGGCACATGGATGAACTGCGGATAACCAAGGAGTTTTTTGCTGACATATAACTTTACCACTAAAGGTTTTGTTTTAATGACGGCAAGCTACCTTCTGGGTCCAGTTGTTGTCCGTACTTGACTGGAATTAAGTCGTGGTCTGCGGAGAACAGATGCGTCATCCCAGTTATCCTTATCAACCCGGAAGGAGTTTGTTTTAACCGGTATTTAAGTTCGTTGTTACTAGACTGAACAGAGAGATCGATATATTGACAAGATAAGTATAAAGTATTATGAAGGTTATTTAAATCAATATATTGCAAGGAGGGAGGAACAACATGCTAGGACTCAAATTTTCCTCATTCAGTGTCGGGATTTCTTCTCCTTCTTCATTCCGGGAATTAAAAGCAAGTCTCTACAAACGTTGTGATCATTTGTAATGTTAATTAAGTTAAATCATGATCAGATTGAAATGATCTTGTCGCCAGCGTCGACATCGAGTACTCGCAACGCATCCTCTTATAGAGGGTATAGGAGGATGACAGTATTCCCACAACGTTAGCTATTAATAGAGTTTTATTGATTTCAAAAGAATTAACTAATTTTTATCGACGTGCTAGACTATGCATTGCCTACCTCTTTGGTTAAAAGAAACTATAAATCCATTACTTTGCTACCTACAGTGACGAACTAAAGCAGAAGGATTGAAACAGACTTAATATGTTGATGCTGTAGCTATGCTGTTCAGTTTCGTCTTAATGAGGGTGCCATTGTAAAAATTCCAGAGAAAAACCCGTCCTCGCTACCCTGTGAGCAGAGTTTTCTCTCTTGCATTGCTTTTAGTATTTGCGTGGCTTATCTGTCGCGTTGTTACGAGAAACCTCTGCTCCTAGGGTACGTCTTCACTAAAGAAAAAGAAAATAGAACAAACTGAGATCGCGCTGAAATCCTATTACTATCAAAGTCGTGACAACCCAATTGCATTGAATCCATATTTTGCGGGCAGGAGAGAAACTGAAGCCGGGTACGGTTTTGATTTAGTAGATTTCTCGTCGCGACTGCTTTGACCTACTGTTTTCTTTATGTAATACTGAATGAGTCCGGAAGTTGCTCAAATCGTTGGGCAGTTTATCACTTTGCAAAACAGAACTAAAATGTCATTGATTAGCTAGAACATTTTGTTATAAAGAAAGTCTAAAAAAAAAAAAAAGGTTCACTAGCCTCCATGTCAAGCGTGGTTTCGCTACAGAGATACATGGCTGTGTTACTTGTATATATATTTCGCAAGTGTCCATGATGAAGGTTCTGATGACTGTACTATACGTATAGTACGGTAAACACCCTCATATAAGAACAAATGGTTTAAAAACATCAGGCTGAAATTTGGCCCGTAAAGCACCATATATATAAGAACTAGTTCAGCCTGATAGATAAAACATATTCTTATGTAATAAGGGAGAGGGTGTCAGAATAAGAAAGAGAAATATTTGAAAAATGTTGAAACTAATGTTGCAATTCTACTCGTTGTAAATGTCAACTACAGTAGTTTACTACTGTGACTGTTTTTTATTTTACTTATTGATTTACTGATTTATTTACTTACTCATTTATTTAAAATGAAATATACTAACTAAACCTCTGGTAACATATTAAGTGTAGTATTTCTGAAACAAAGTTTAAGAACATATTAAGAACATCTTCAGGCTGATTTTTCACTAAGCAACCGAGTAATAAGAACTTGATCAGCCTGAACCCCAAATCACGTGTTCTTTTATGCGGGTGTTTACTGCAGCTGTACAACAATACTTATCATTGTGTAACGGAAAATAAAGGTAAAGACGACAAACTAGCTATAAAAGGGCGTAGTGTTGTTTCATTCACCGGCAAACTGCAGATAAAAATTCGTCAGTGATGTTGCACTTCACTGACTTAATATGCGTTTTCCGATGCGTTTTCCTCTTTGTTTAACGGTTTTGACACATGAATATCCACCAAAAAACAACAACAAAAGATAGTTTCTGATAAACCAGCAATTGTTCTTTCAAGCCTTCATAGAAGGACAACCAGGGCAATCAATTGTTCGTGTACATCACCGTGTACCCACTCACGGTTTCAGATGACAACTCAGTAGCTGCATGAGCTGCATAAAATACGTTTCTTACTGGAATCAAACCCTTCAACAATCACAAAAACTCAGTTTTTATTGTACAATCAAAGACGACTATATCTCCTCGCCGTACCTAGTTTTAACAAGAAAAAAACATTCGAGAAAAGCATTAGTTAGATTTAGAATAAGTACTCATCAACTTAGAATTGAAACAGGTAGATACGAAAAAATCCCTCGCAATGAAAGGATATGTTACTTTTGTACAAGTAACAAAATTGAAGATAAAAATCATTTCTTACTAGATTGTAAGGCTTATTCTCAGATCAGAGACATATTTTTCTCCAAGCTAGAAAATAAAATACCTGACTTCAAATCGCTTTCACACGATACTTTAATATCTCTTCTTATGAATTCTTCTGATTATTTAATTAACTGTCAATAGAGTACTAAAGTGATGACGTCATAAAAATGAAATTTCTGAAATTATGGGATTTGTCAGGATATT